AAAGTCATAATTGTGAGTAAAGTCATAATTGTGAGTAAAGTCATAATTGTGAGTAAAGTCATAATTGTGAGAAAAGTCATAATTGTGAGAAGTCATAATTGTGAGAAAAGTCATAATTGTGAGAAAAGTCATAATTATGAGAAGTTATAATTGCGAGTAAAAAGTCATAATTGTGAGAAGTCATAATTATGAGAAAAGTCATAATTGTGAGTAAAGTCATAATTGTGAGTAAAGTCATAATTGTGAGAAAAGTCATAATTGTGAGAAAAGTCATAATTGTGAGAAAAGTCATAATTGTGAGTAAAGTCATAATTGTGAGTAAAGTCATAATTGTGAGTAAAGTCATAATTGTGAGTAAAGTCATAATTGTGAGTAAAGTCATAATTGTGAGTAAAAAGTCATAATTGTGAGAAAAGTCATAATTGTGAGAAAAGTCATAATTGTGAGAAAAGTCATAATTGTGAGAAAAGTCATAATTGTGAGTAAAGTCATAATTGTGAGTAAAAAGTCATAATTGCGAGTAAAAAGTCATAATTGCGAGTAAAAAGTCATAATTGCGAGTAAAAAGTCATAATTGCGAGAAAAGTCATAATTGCGAGAAAAGTCATAATTGCGAGTAAAAAGTCATAATTGCGAGTAAAAAGTCATAATTGCGAGAAAAGTCATAATTGTGAGTAAAGTCATAATTGTGAGAAAAGTCATAATTGTGAGAAAAGTCATAATTGTGAGTAAAGTCATAATTGTGAGTAAAGTCATAATTGTGAGTAAAGTCATAATTGTGAGTAAAGTCATAATTGTGAGTAAAGTCATAATTGTGAGTAAAGTCATAATTGTGAGTAAAGTCATAATTGTGAGTAAAGTCATAATTGTGAGTAAAGTCATAATTGTGAGTAAAGTCATAATTGTGAGTAAAGTCATAATTGTGAGTAAAGTCATAATTGTGAGTAAAGTCATAATTGTGAGTAAAGTCATAATTGTGAGTAAAGTCATAATTGTGAGTAAAGTCATAATTGTGAGTAAAGTCATAATTGTGAGTAAAGTCATAATTGTGAGAAAAGTCATAATTGCGAGTAAAAAGTCATAATTGCGAGTAAAGTCATAATTGCGAGTAAAAAGTCATAATTGTGAGAAAAGTCATAATTGCAAGTAAAAAGTCTGAATTGTGAGAAAACTCAAAGTTGCAAGATATAAACTCGCAATTGCAAGAAAAAGGTCAGAATTGCAATTATCTTTTCATTTTTGGCAGAAACAGCCTTACACACACTTAGAGCGACCATGGCGTGAATGCAGCAAAATTAAGAACTGAAGTGAAACTAAATTAAAAATAAATTAAAACCATTTAAAAATATTTTTAAGAACCAAAACCAACTAAACATGAGAAAAGCATGAGAAAATACATTCCAGACGAACCTTCAAAGCCTTTAAAGCTCCAGAGAACATATTAAAGCTCAGAACTGATGGATTCAGCGCTTCGTCTCCCAGCATATGAATATGAAGTTCTTAACATTCACTTCACAGTCACGATTATTCATGAACATCGGCGGGCAGAAATATGAATGAAGCTGCGCTGAGGTCAGCGTGTTCGGATGAGAAGTGTGACGTGACGGGAAGAGTTCAGAAGCGCAGGATTTGTTCGTGTCACGAGTCATTAGTGAGTTACACTCAACACACACCTTTCATAATCCAGATCACTCTTTAACACACACACACACACGCTAAACTGCTGCACACACACACACACACACACACACACACACACACACACACACGCTAAACTGCTGCACACACACACACACACACACACATGCTAAACTGCTACACACACACACACGCTAAACTGCTGCACACACACACACACACAAGACACACATGCTAAACTGCTACACACACAACACATGCTAAACTGATGCACACACACATGCTAAACTGCTGCACACACACACACACACGCTAAACTGCTGCACACACACGCTAAACTGCTGCACACACACACACACACACACACACGCTAAACTGCTGCACACACACACACACACACACACACGCTAAACTGCTGCACACACACACGCTAAACTGCTGCACACACACCCACACACGCTAAACTGCTGCACACACACACATGCTAAACTGCTGCACACACACACACACACACACACACACACACACACACACACACACATGCTAAACTGATGCACACACACACACACACACACACACACACATGCTAAACTGATGCACACACACACACACACACACACACACATGCTAAACTGATGCACACACACACACACATGCTAAACTGATGCACACACACACACACACACGCTAAACTGATGCACACACACACACACACATACATACTAAACTGATGCACACACACACACACACACACACACACACATGCTAAACTGATGCACACACAGACACACATGCTAAACTGATGCACACACACACACATGCTAAACTGATGCACACACACACACACACACACACATGCTAAACTGATGCACACACACACACACACACACATGCTAAACTGATGCACACATACACACACACACACACATGCTAAACTGATGCACACACACACACATGCTAAACTAATGCACACACACACACACACACACATGCTAAACAGCTGCACACACACAGACGCTAAACTGCTGCACACACACACGCTAAACTGCTGCACACACAGACACACATGCTAAACTGCTGCACACACACACACATGCTAAACTGCTGCACACACACACACATGCTAAACTGCTTCACACACACACACACACACACGCTGAATTGCTACACACACGCTGAACTGCTACACACACCCCCCCCCCACACACACACATGCTAAAAAGCTGCACACACACACACACACACAAAAACACACACACACGCTAAACAGCGGCACACACACACACAAACACACACACGCTAAACAGCGGCACACACACACACAAACACACACACGCTAAACTGCTGCACACACAGACACACATGCTAAACTGCTGCACACACACACACATGCTAAACTGCTTCACACACACACACACACACACGCTGAATTGCTACACACACGCTGAACTGCTACACACCCCCCCCCCCCCCCACACACACACACATGCTAAACAGCTGCACACACACACACACACGCACACACACACACACAAAAACAGCTGCACGCACACACACACACACACAAACACACACACGCTAAACAGCGGCACACACACACACACACAAACACACACACGCTAAACAGCGGCACACACACACACACACACACACACACACACACTCAAACACACACACGCTAAACAGCGGCACACACACACACATGGTAAACAGCTGCACACACACACACACACAAACACACATGCTAAACAGCTGCACACACACACACATGGTAAACTGCTGCACACACACACACGCAAAACACACACACACACACACATGCTAAACAGCTGCACACACACACACACACATGCTAAACAGCTGCACACACACACATGCTAAACTGCTACACACACACACATGCTAAACTGCTACACACACACACACACACACACACACACACACACAGATGTTAAACAGCAGGTTTCAAACATCAGGAAAATGGGGAAATGATGAGTTAGAAGGAAGTGGAGATTGAAGCAGCGATAGGGTGTGAGAGGAGAGGGGAATGGAGGATGAAGAAGATAAAGAGCAGATGAAGAAGATAAAGAGCGGATGCTGTTTTCTTACTCCAATTTCCTGATCTCTCCAGTTCTGGTAATCCACATGTGTCTTTCTCTTCAGTTTAACCGGACAAGTCCAGTTTCAGCTTCAGATCCTGGCGGGAGTGTGTGTCACCGACCCTCGGGTGTTTGTTACAGGCAAAACATTAAAAGTTCTGCTGAAATTTATATTTGCACTTAGTGGATGATTCTAGAGATCATGATCAGTGATCAGTGCCTTTTACTTTTGGCCAACAAAAATTCTGATCACCATTCTGCACTGCAGGGGTTAACTATTAACTAAAACTATTAAAAAGCATTTATGTTAATTGAAATAAAGCTGAAATAGAATAAATATTAGATGAATGAAAATTAAAATGGTGCTTTGGCAATTAACTGAAATATCGAAGTTGAAGAAAAAAAGTCAAAGGATTGAGAGAAAACAACTAAAACGAGAACTAAAATGATTAACTCATAATAATAATAATAATAATAATACTAAAACTGAAATAAAAATGAATTAAAACTATTTAGAAATATTTTTAACAACCTAAAAGTAATAAATGTGAGAAAAACATAACAAAAGTACTAAAAAATTAAACAAAATTTTAACTGAAAACTAAAATAAAAGCAAATTATATATATACATATAAAAACTATAATAGTATTAATTTAACACTAAATTAACATGCCCATGCACAGAGACATCATTTAAATTTTTTTATTGTGGTGTGCTTAATAATACCAGACATTAAAATTATCGATACAATCATCAATATATTTACACAATGAGCGCCGAAATTAATGCAAAATGTTATTTTATAATTTTTATAGTATGACACTAAACTGTAATTGACTGTCAGTGTCTCGTATAATTTTACGCTCTTTCTTCACGCATAATAAAATAATTTCAACCTAAATCAACATATTATGTGCATTGATTTATTTGGCAAGTACAGCCAAATGTAATAAGAATAAGAATAATTTACATTTAGATAGTCTCTGTCATAAAAAAAGACGAGTCCGAGTTTCTGTGTTCAGTCAGTTTTAGTTTGAGCTTGTGCTGACCGTCTCAATGCATGTATTAAAAACCACAGCTGAAGAAACGGACACGATATTCAGGAAGCAAACCCATTTATTATCATCAAGTACAAGAATATCAAACGAACAGAGAGAAAGAGAACCCGATTCGTCTCGGGTAACTTCGTTACGACAAAGACACTCGACAGCAAAGATCTTCCCCTCACCGTCCCCGTTTTAACATCGCATTCGTCAGATTGTTCTGAAGTCTCATGAGCAAAGGCTGAGGGGGAGGAGTTTGTACAGCTGTCAATCAGCAACCCGGCCACTCTGATTGGTCAAAATGCGAGTTCTAGCTCCTCCCACTACTGCCAGTTAAAGCTCCGACCTATAAGCCGGAAGAAGTTCAGGTTGTGTTGGCGTAAATACAAGCGCAGTTGACGGAGAACCGTGTTGTTAACCGGAGGATGAGGACGTCCTTTAGACTCATGAAGGCATCGCTCGTGTCCGTCACTGCGGATGCAATAGAAGCCTTTGGTTTGGTTAAAGTAGAAGTTGGACGCCACGATCCGCGGCGGGAGATCGAGGAATCGTTCGACTCGCTGGAGCTCGGGCAGCGGGTCGTGGATCAGCGTGTCTCCGTCCACAATGTGGATCTGCTCGAGAGGAAAGTGCTGGAGCCAGTTCCTCATGTGCACGTCGTAAAGACTTCGCTGGATCGCTTTGTAGCGCGTGTTGAGCGCGCCGTTCTTCACCAGCATGTTCTCGATGGCCTGAACGGGCTTGTGGTTCTCCAGCCGGTTGAAGTAGACCTGTGTGTAATCCGAGATGACTCTCTCCGTAGGGTCTCTGAGGATCAGCAAGAGTCTGATGGACGAGTTCATGGCGTGGATCCGCGCGGGAGCGACCGGAGACGTGAAATACCCCGGCGTCTTTTCCACCGTGATCTGATGAGGGAACGAATACGGCATTTGTTCGCGATACCAATCGAAGCCTTTGGCGTAGTTCTCGTCCCAGTCGAAGAAGTGGACTTCAGTGGCGGCCGCTGCCACTTCGGGATGGATATCCAGCATTTCGAGCAGCGCTCTCGTTCCTCCTTTCCGAACGCCGACGATAATGCTGTGAGGAGTGTGTTTGCTGGTTCCTGGAGGAGGGATCAAAGAAGGGGTGAACGTCTCGTTTCCAGGGTTTTCCGGGACCGGAGTCACTTGGATGAACTCAGGAGGAGCGGCATACGCCCGGAGAACCAGGAACAACATGTAACTCAGAAGATTAGCCATGGAGAGGGTTGGAGAGGCTGAAAGGATAAACGGCGGGTTGGTGTTGAAGATGCGACGGTGTGTGTTCAGTCACGATAGCGAGTCAAGCGATGGCGGGGTCTTCGAGCTGGGCGTTCAGGGACGAGGTGTGGCCACCGGTCCAAAGTGCATCTGGAAAACACAAAGAAGTAAAGATAAGTTAATAATAAGACATGCACATAAACTACGATAGAAACATGTTTACCGAATAAATCCCTCAAAACCACATGTGACTTTTCCTCAGCAGAGGCTGTGATTGGATGACTGGAGTAACCAGCGGACCAATGGCATCGCACGATCTCTAATGTTGGTTTGCTGGTTCTGAAACACCGAGTCGTTTATGATGGAGGGAAAAAGAGCCCGATTGCAGAAACGTACACTTTTATTACTGATATTTTGCGCATACTTTGCATCTGGAAAACACAAAGTAGTAAAGATAAGTTAATAATAAGTAGACAATTTTGGCCGATACCGATAACCGATAATTCTTTGTATTTGAAAGCCGATAACCGATATATTGGCTGATAAATCTAAATCCAAATTTCTATATCATTTTTGAGAGCCTGATTACAAAAACAAAAGTCTCCCCCAGTAAAAGCCAAGATACAAACACAATTATGATGTTCTCATTATAATTTTATAGCCGATATGACAGACTTGCGCTGCACATGTTGCACTTTAACTGGATTTTCCTTTTAACCCTCTGGGGACTAAGTCCTTTTTGGTCCGTTTTCTCTATTTTTACATTGGGGCTTATAAACCATATGTAATGGAGATGGAACACTATGTGTTTGGTATCTATGGATTCAGAAGACCCTAAGCTAACATAATCATGCATGCAATGTGTTTATAAAGGAAGTATGAGTAAAAAATGTACTATAAACTAGAGAATTTCAAAAACGGAAATTAGATTTTTGTCATTTATTTCTGAAAATCACAAAACAATAGTGAACATTTTTTGAACAAAAAATATATTTGTCAAACCCTTTGCTTGACAGACATGTGTAATTGTTAAAAAAATTGTGCAAAGAACAATGAAAAATTTAACTTTATTTACAAATAGTCCTAGGCGTTTTTCTTAGGAATGCTTAGAATTTTCTAAGCAATGCTTTCTCCTCGTCACTCTCCAGTAATTGTTCCAGAGCTTGTTCCACCGTAAATCTTTACTGCTTGCCATCATAAAAGTGCTAAAACAATAAATAATGCTATAATTGTATGTGTATATATATATACATATTATAATTGTTCTGTCTCTCTCTCTCTCATTTAAATCTCTGATAATCCGCTCCGTAAGCCTCCGTTCGCTCTCTCTCCTTCTCTCCATTCAACGCTGTTTGCGTCATATCCCTAACTATATAGTACCACCCCTTGCAAGAAACGTCTTGGTAACCTTCCTCTGATTGGGTAAGAAAAATATTTCTCCATCGGCAATTTTTCCATTGGTTGCTGTTCGCGCAATCTGCCAAACAACATCGATTTCATTGGCCCTTTACATAGTGGTATTGCGCAACAAGGAAGTGTGTATATTTACAAGCCGGGTGAGTTATCACTGTTTTCAGCGGAATCTGAGGAAGACGGTAAAAAAGACCGCACCTCTCTATCACTAATATTTTTTGAGATAATTACACATTTGTAAAAGTATGCCATTTTGGGCGGTACCGCCCGATCCGTCCCCAGAGGGTTAAAGTGATTTCTATCATATTTCAAGCAATTTAAAACCATCATGTTGAACAGTGTCTCAGCTGGAGGAAAAATACATTATTTATCGGCTTTAATATATCGGCTACATTTTCTTGTCGGGCCGATAACGATAACATTAAAAATGATCATATTTCGGCCGATACCGATACGATGGCCGATATATCGTGCATCCCTGATAATAAGACATGCACATAAACTACGATAGAAACATGTTTACAGAATAAATCCCTCAAAACCACATGTGACTTTTCCTCAGCAGAGGCTGTGATTGGATGACTGGAGTAACCAGTGGACCAATGGCATCGCACGATCTCTAATGTTGGTTTGCTGGTTCTGAAACACAGAGTCGTTTATGATGGAGGGAAAAAGAGCCCGATTGCAGAAACGTACACTTTTATTACTGATATTTTGTGTTTCAATTGCCAAGGAAGTGACAATTTTGTTCTCTTGAACACATGGGATGGAAACGCTGCTTCATTTACAAAATGATTTATGCAATATTACAATTTTGTGCATAAGTTAAATTCGCAACTTTAAATGGAAAGCTTAGCTATCGTCTGCAATGTTGGACCAGGATCTGTTGATGTTTTCCTCTCTTTACGTACACATGGCCACTCAAATCTATATTTGTAAAGTTTTTTTTATCGTCTTTTGACAAGTAATTTGGTAATTCAATGCTCTACTTAGTGCTGAATTTTAGATATCATTATAGTTTTCATCAATTTCCCAGTTAAAGTACTTTCTTCAATGTCATGCTGATCCACAAAGATGGGCATTTACCATCTAAACACCCTCCTGAGAAAATGTGACCAAAATGATTCAGATTTCCTCCAAATAGATCCTATATTCAAGCCAGTTAAATTGTTTTTATCTGATTTGCAACTTAAATCAAATAGACTGAGCATGCTTGCAACATCACTGAATCCAGGCACAATGGCTGCTATAACTAACAAAAAGAAACCCTTATAACTCAGAAAGCAATTTGATTATATGTGTTGCTATATGTTTATAAAAATGCATTGCAATTCTACTCAGTAAAACACTTGGCACAAGATTACCCAGCATTCCTCAGAGGATTCAATCAGTTCTAGTCCTTCCTGAAGATCAACCCGATCAATCCATTTTCTTTTTAACAGGTCATGTTTACAACCTATAATTCATAGTGCTCTGTTATTAAAATTTAATACATTTTAGAAACAAAATGTTTTAAGTTTTATTAATTAAAATTGATTAGACATCTTTTTTTGAGTATTAACAAATAAAATTGAATCCAGAAAATGAAAACAGAAAACATGGAATTTGGGAAAAAATATTAAGTTAATAAGTTATTAAATTGCTAACATTTTATGAATTCCATTGATTAAAGACATTCCTTTTGGTGATTAAAAATGTAATCAAACCATTAAAAACGGAATCCTAAAAAATGTAAATGGTAAACATGGAATTTGGGAAAAATGTAACATATTGTTAAAAATTTGATAAATTATTACATTGTTAAAGATTTATGAAGTCAATGGATTAGACATCCTTTTTGATTATTAACATTTAATTGGAATCCAGAAAAATGAAAGCAAAAAAACAACAACAACATGGAATTGGGGTAAAAATGAAACGTTTACAACCTATACGGTTAGTGTTATAAGAGACTGAACAAGCACTAGATATCCAGCACTAACTGTGCGACGGCGTAGACATGTTTCTTTTCTTGCATCGCTTCAGTGGACTTAAAGAAAAGCCAAGGTCAAAATCACAGGAACGCAGTGAAACGAGGAGGAATATGAGAGCGAAACGGGGGGAAATCGCTGATTGAGTTCAAAGAATCCCATGCAAATGTGCCAAATCACAAACATCTCCTGACCTTTACGCTTCATCAGATTCCAAAGCGTGGCAAACAGAGACACAGTTAACAGACCCTCTTACACAGCCCAAACAGCCCAAGCCTCCAGTCACAATACTCCGCCAGGGAAAGGTCACTTCCATGGCATTTACCCGCCGCTCTCCAAACTGATTAAACCTTGTAACTCTATTACAGATTACAGCCATCTGCACTCTTTCACAGACACGATTACACCACTCGAGTTCAGCTCTGAGAACACATCATCCAAACTACGGTCAAGTCAAGTAGATATTAATCACGTATTAATCATGCTTTTTTATGAATCGCCACTTCAAACCGCTATCACTGATTGAGTCCTTGGACGCTCACTGGTCAAACTGGTTTACTTTCACATGTGACCAGCAGGAAAAATAACACCTTATAATTACAAACAAGGGTTTCTAGGGCCCTGCGATGTGGAAAACACTGCAGAATCCTGTCACACACATGGAACTTACTGTATAATGTCACGCAATTTGGTCAATTTTGGATTAATAATGATGAAATTTAAATTAATAAAGCTCTTCACGACAAGCTCTTCGCCTAAATAAAAGTACAGTTTAACTTGAAATTGTGACGGAAATTACTATTGTCTCAAAGTAGAAACATCAATAATAATACAGATTATTAAAACATGTTTTTTAAAGGGATATCACACAATTTTAAAAGTAAACCTGTTTTACAGCTGATGAAACAGTAGAAGAGCTGATGCTAACAGCGAGTTACTGTCTAAACCAATCAGGCTCACAGGAGCCAATGAAACCAGCGCGTTTCTGGCTGAACCACCAACATCACACCATACATGTGCGTTAGATACCAAAGCAAAGACAAAACAACATTTCTTTTCATTTGCACTTTACTTTCAATGCAAATACATTTCCAGGGAAAGCATGAGCTGATAAAATGAAAAGTTTACATGCAATGTAAGTCACTTTAAAAGTACTATAAAAGTATGAGACTTGCATTGTATGGACATAAACATTTTATACATAATATTACAGCTATGTATATACATATGTTTAGAACCAAAAGAGTAGGCCTAAGACAAAAAACTAGAGTTGACTGTAATGGTCAGAAGAATATAAAGATAATCCATAGCTAAATAAGTAAATAAACTAATAATAAAAAAAAAATCACAAATGACTATCATATTATGGTCATAAGTATATAATAAATACAATTTATAGCCCACCCCAAAAAACTAAATTAAATTAAAATAAATAAATATATAATTAAATAACATCACAAGCTGACTGTTAATGGTCAGACGTATATATATATATATATATATATTAGGGGTGGAACGGTACACAGAAGTCACGGTTCGGTTCATACCTCGGTTCAGACATCACGGTTCGGTACGATTTCGGTACAATGGAGGGAAAAGCAAAACAAAAATGCAGAAGGCATTGTATTTTTTAATAAGTTTTATTATTAAAGGCATAGAAC